ATAAAGGCAGCCAAAGATCTAAAATGGCTGCCTTAATCAAGCACTTGCTGGCTGCTTAGCTCTGGCCTTAAAGTGGCAGGCACCCACAGTGCCCTGCCACAATCACAAAAAAGTGCTCTTTAGTTAATATGCATTCAAATAGACTAATGTACATTTTTCTAGTACCTCACAATGGAGGTATTAGCTTTAATGCACCTCACCTAATGTGCATTAATGAACATATAAACATGCCCTCTGGTGGTCTATGTAAAACAGGTTGTGGATCTCAGTCCCAGGCCAGTATATCAGTAACTGGCACCCTTCCTAACAGTCTCAAACAAATAAGGACTGAGGAGGTCCTACAAGTAAATTATCCTCTCCTCACTAAGAGTATTCTCTTCAACAATTGGGGAGGCATGAAATGGGATCTTCATGGCTATTGCTGCTACTGTACTACTCTCTGGCCAGCATGAAGACTTTGCACTTTAGCACAATCTGGCTCCTTCCTGAGAACAACATGCATTACCCTTACATTTACAAAGAGAGGGAGTATGCCTAATATTGATGTCATAAATCAAAAGGGACAGAGGAAATATAATGCTCTTTGGTGCCAGAGAAAACTTACCCAATCATTATGATAATTTGATTCAGACCTCAAAGTATGGAAGACCCCTTGTGGTGACAGGCACTTACTTTCACAGATGTCAAAACCAAAAGGACCCATTAGATTGTTGAACCTGACCTTCTGGATATCACAGACCCTGGAATTTCACTCAGTTACCATTGAACCCAATGATTTGCAGAGGCAATCCCCCTTATGCTTTATATGAGCTCTACCAGTACTTTTCCAGCATGCCAAGTAGTGAGCAAAACCACATCTGCAGTATGTGCTATACCCTCATTTAGGCTAAGCAGGAATGTAATTGTGATAGCTTATGGTTGGAATATGATATCTGGAAATAGATGATATCTTGAAATTACTGACACCCTGAACATGTCCATGAGGTGGCAAGTCGTCTTCAAAATGTCTTTGAAATGTGAACTGCCTACTTATTGTAAATATAATAGGTTTTTTTTCTAGGAATATTAGAAGTTTTTGTATTCAATATTTAAGGGTCCATCATGAAAAGAGAAAAAGCTCAGCCAGACAAAAGTACTCTGACCTTTAATAATGAGATGGCAGCACAATTTCTACAGTCTATCTTTTTTGGAAAATGAACCAGGCCATAATAGATCAGAAAGTTATTCAAAAGGTTAATGTAATACTGTATTATAGCTCACAGACTTGTAAGTTTCTCTAAAATGCTTATTCAACTCTTCATTTATACTTTAGGACTAAGGACGTATGTTCAAAAAGCCAGAGCCTGCATTGATTCAAGGTCAGTCTAACCTGCCTATGTTGAATCAATTTACAGGTGTACAGACATTCCCTCTGGACTGAGGAAATACAGGCACCTGCTTGCAGTCATTCAGGCTAGGATCCAGGGGGTGCTAGAGCATGCCCACAGCTGCAGGGAAGCTATGCTGGGGTGGGGGGGCATGGCCAGCTTGGGCAGTAGCAGTTCCCAGCTAGCTTCAGGCTGGGCAGGGAAATCCCCACATAGCCTGGAGCTTGCTGGGAGCTGCCCCAGAAGTGGGCCAGGAGACAGCTGCCACTGCAGCTGGAAGAGTTGTCCTGGCCCCATTCACATGGGGACCAGCACTGTGCTCCCCTGCCAGCCTCCAGGCTAACACCCAGGGGGGAGCCTAGACCTCCCCCTGGCTGCTGCAGGGGGCCAGAGCAAAGTAGGAGCAGCCCTGTGCCAGGCTGATCCCACTGGGAGTAGATTTGCTCCCCTGTGAAGGTGTATTGCACAGTAAAATACTGCATCTTTATAGCATTAATTGCACATGTAGATGCACCCTGTGAAAACCAAGTCCCTTTAAGGAATCCTGGGCACTTAAAAATGGAAATATCCAGAAATTTAAGAAATTAGGAGTCTATATTTTCATTGTGATGAAAAATAAATTGACAGAGTACTGTAATTCCAACATCCAAAAGTTTGTTATATGTGGGCTGGATAATATATCATCTTGCATACAGACTCAGAGTACGTAGTGCTTTACTCCTTAAACAAAGGTAAAAGAATCCAGCCTAATACATAAAATAAATAATAAGATGTTACAGTAGATATTGTTAGATAATGCTTTTACTCCTAGACTTCAAACCAAGATCCCTCTCCTGGCATGTGAAAAAATGTCCAGTTTTGGGAAAATATACTGGGAAGTTCTTAGTTTAGCTTTATTCATTCTTCAGGTAACAGAAAGTTGGGTGAGCAACAGAAGGTTTTGTTCTCTTCCAGGTCTCTAATTAGCACCCTTTCTTGAGGCATAAGGATCTCCAGGCATAAGTGATGGGCCAAGAATGCTGAAAGAAGAGATTGCCATGCATACCATTTGCCTTTCTGTTCCAAGACCAGGTGTTTGTTTGTTTGTTACATTTAGCATGGACCCAGGCATTACATTATTGATGATTTCACCACTAAGAAACTGCCTTGCAAGGCTAAGATATTTGCTGCTATTTGGTGAGGGAGAAAAAATTCAGTGTGACACACTGCTGTCAGAACAGTGGCACCAGAAGAGATGCTTTCTAAGTTTGTAAAAAGGCAATAACAGTAATAAATAACTTTGGGACAGTTTATGAAACATGCAGGCAAAGCTGGCCAAGTTTGTAATCTCCTTGTACTATAACTAACTGGCCTACAGATTTTCAGACACTGAAAAAGCCACCAAAAGGTTATAAGTCCTCAAGGTATTTGGGGATATTCAAATATAAAAGTTGACCAACTAGCTCCAAAATGAACCATAACAAATAAAACACTTTTAAAGATTTCTAGATCAAGATATTTTACAGTTGGCTTTTGCAACAGCAGCAACAACAAAATGAGAAGAATTTTAAAAAAGTGAAAGCTTACCTATTTTTATAAGTCCCTTAAATCAAAAAATAGCCTACCTAATTAGGCTGTGGCTTCCCTTCCCACATGTATTCATTTGGCTTGGGCAAGAAACGTAAAAGATTTTAACACAAATGGACTTTAAAAAAGCACAATCATTTTGGAATGGGAAAGTAACAGAAGTGGGTTTCTAACAGAGATTACCTAACAATGTACCCTGTGATGTTCTTGTCACGGCTCCATAATTTCCAGTGTGATACGTGGAAAATCAGCAGTACAACTCCTGTTGTTAACAGGTTATGAATACCTAATTACTTAACTGGTTGAACATTTTGATGGCAAAAGAAAGCTAAATTACAGAAGCTTTTAAATATGTATGTACTTAGCCAGCTACCCCTTAATTTTTTAAGTAGTTCATAAGTCTTTGAGGTGTGCCTACCGTAAGGTAATGGGAATTGAATGGCTATAGAGCTACACATGGTTTTGAAAATTAGAGGGTTTATTGTTATCCACCTTCATAGCAAGCAGCACATTTCAAGATTCTAAATCCAGAACGTGCTTTTTGTGGATTTTTCAAGGTTGAAAGAAAAAAAACATCAGGAGCTGGCTATTTACAGGCATAAAGTTCATAGTTTTTATGGTGATAGGCTGTATTTTATTAGCAAGAAGAGATGCCAGTGAATTTCTCTGGAAAACATTACGTGCTTATACAGCAACTTAGCATTAAAAAATCCTCATTTTAAATAAGAAATGGGGCCTGAGCCTCTCCTGTGTCACATGGATATTCCACCAGTGTAACCCCATTGAAGGCAAGGGAGCAACACAGATAATGAAGCTGAAGTAAAAAACACCACAGTTCAAGTCCATTATTCTTAATTGTATTCCTAGAGTCAGAATAGGGAATAGCTGTGATATCACAGATATTGAGCTGTGGTCACTGCTGGGTTTTAATGGATGAATTAACCATTATATAATGTAAATGGACACATTTGGAGGAGAAGAGAGACCAGTCCATTACCCACTATATATTTATTTTCAATAGGCCTAATCCAAAACCCATTGACTTTAGTAGGTTTTGGATCAAGTCCAAGGACATTTTTTTCCTTAAATGTCAAACTGAGATAGTGTAGAACTGATATTGTAGCCATGATATTCCAGCAAAAATGCAAGAGCAATGGATTTTTTAGGGTGGTATATTTTATTGGAACAACAACATAGTTGGGAGTGATTTTAGACACACTTTGTGGGTGCAAGGAACCTTTCCTCAGGTCTTGAGGTTAAGTCCAAAAGCTTGTCTAAAATATCTCCCAAATATGCATTTTGTCCAATAAAATATATCACTTCCAAAAAATCTGTACCTTTTGCAAACTGGAATTGAGATACTTTTTTGTTCATCAGTAGTAGAAAATCCTCAAAATTGAGGTCATATATTACAAACCTAATTATAGTCAGAGTTATCACAATGACTTAAATGTTGCATGCTCAGATAACACAGAAACCAGACATGCTCAGAGAGGTGAATGCTTAACTGGGAACTTGATTTGAGATAGATAGGTTCTAGGGAATGATTGTGAGAGACACATTTTGGGATTGGTGCTGTTCTTAATGAACTCAAAAGGCAAAATATCATCCTGTTTTCCAAAGATGCTAGATAAAGTTGGATATCAGTCAAAAGACTATCTGGGGGGAAAGACAAAGAAAGCCTGTAAGGATTATCCTCTTAATTTGTGGAGTATAAACCAAAGCAAGTCACTCTGGCATGAGTTAAGGTGTTGGTGTGAAACAAAACAGGAAATGTAGTCATCATTCATAGCTCTGTCAGCTATCAGAGAGTTTAGGGAGAAGTGCATGGGCTACAGCAAATGCAGATATAATATTTATTTTTGTTAGGCAAAACTAATACATTTTTAAGTTTGCTGATTTGAATCATTGATCAGGTTACTGCAATAAAAACTAAATGATGAACCTATACATTCATACAAGAAAACATGATTCAGGCTATTGGAAGTATTAGTTACAGAAGTTAGACTTGCTCTATATTATGTTGTTTCATTTTGTTTTAATTAGGACAAAGGATAATACAGAAAGCCTGAAAGGTGGAGAATAGACCAAAAGCAAGAAACTTTTTAAGTTAGTTATTTTTCTAAAAGCTTTATAGAATGAAATGGAAGAAACAGGTAGTCTACAGGGTGTATAACCAGTGCTTCACTTAAACTGTATAGAAGTAGAGCAAGATGAAAGGACAATATTACAAACCAATCAAGAGGAGCTAGACATTTTGAATGAAGAAGTTTAAAAATGCTACAAAATGCTACCCATATTTCTTTTGCCTTGAAGAGATGCATATTAATTTCTATAGCTTAGAGGTATAAATTCTTGAGAAGCTATTCAATGCTATTCTATTCCATTCTATTCTGTTCTATATAGGTTCTTATAACATAATTATTAGTCTAGTATCTGAGCTCTTTCCAGTAAAACATTAAGTGACACAACTCATAATTGTCATTTCTCCTCAAGACATGCTGTATACTCAAGACCTTTGTTCTAATTTATTCATATTTTCTTTAATAAAAAGTGTTCTTTACCATTTTTTCTCTATGAAAGACTATGAAACCACCAAAAAATCAAGGGTTACCAGAAATAAGGTTTGTGACCTTTGAAACAGAGATCTGCATACAAGAGCTACTCATAGAATTTTTTTCAATTGCATATGTTCTTATGAAGAGCACATTATAATTTATATTTTATCAACAGGCAAGTCTCTGAACGATTAATAGATTTTACCACAGCCAATATTTTAGCTGTATACATTAAAGAGTTGTCCTAGATGCCATTTCTTGACTGAGCAAGAGCTTCAAAATTGCATTAATCAGACTTGATATTACTGTTGACCAATTTGGCAACGGATTCAAGTGCCAATGAGCTTAAAGTAAGCCTGGAAAGGACCTTGAGAGGTCATCTAGTCCAAACCCCTGCCTGAAGCAGGATCATCCCTATTCAAACCATTGTAGATGACACAAAATTATGGCGTAAAGTTAACAAACACAGTAGGAAGGGATCAAATTCAGGCAGACCTGGACAGGTTGGAAAAGTGGGCAGAAAAGAATAGGATGCAGTTCAACAAAGACAAGTGCAAAGTGCTACATCTTGGGAGAAGGAATCACCAACACACCTACAGGCTAGGGGATAACCTTCTCAGCAGCACAGCAGCAGAAAGGGATCTTGGACTCACAGTTGACTCCAAGATGAATAAGAGCCATCAATGTGATGAAGTGATCAGTAAAGTTAATTGTTCTCTATCATGCATTAACAGGGGCATCACGAACAGGTCCAGGAAGGTGATATTTCTCCTCTATGCGGCATTGGTCAGGCCGTAGCTGGAGTACTGCATCCAGCTCTGGGCGCTGCACTTCAAGAGGGCTGTGGATAACCTTGAGAGGATCCAGAGGAGAGCCACTCATATGGTTAGGGGCCTGCAGGTAAGGCCCTATGAGGAGAAACTGAGGGACCTGGATTTCTTCAGCCTCCACAAGAGAAGGCTGAGAAGGGATCTTGTGGCCATTTACAAATTCATCAGGGGTGGAGCAGCAAGAAATTGGAGATGCTGTGATTACCAGGGCACCCCTTGGAATAACCAGGAACAACAGCCACAAACTGACAGACAGCAGATTGAGGTTGGACATCAGAAAGAACTTCTTTATGGTAAGGCTGCCAGAATCTGGAATGGGCTTCCAAGGGAGGTGGTGCTCCCCCCACCCTGATGTCTTCAAGAGGAAACTGGACAAGCACCTGGCTGGGGTCATCTGACCCCAGCACTCTTTCCTGCACAGGGCAGAGGGTCAAACTCGATGATCTACTGAGGTCCCTTATGACCCTAACGACTAGGAACCTATGAAACTATACAAATCCATTGTCTAACCTATTACCAAAACTACATAGTCGACCTTGATCCAGCACAAAACACAACACCCTAAACTGCCACAGGTGAAGCAGGAGGTCCATAGGGCATCTTTTTACATGTTTGGGGTGGGGAGGGGGAAGTGCTTTAATTACAGTGGCTCTCAGGAGTCTCTCTAATTAAAGCGCCTGCAGTGTCTCGTGTATTCAGTTTCCCATGCTTCAAAATGGCGGTGGGAGCACTTTAAAGTTCATTCAACAAGCTTTAGATAAAGTGCCTCTGCCTCCATTTTGAAGCATGGAATGCTGAATACACATAATGCTGAGGCAGCTAAAGCATGCTAATTAATCAAGTCTGCTCTAACATGTGCTAATTAGCACATCAGAGAATGTGTCAGACACGTGTATAGATGCCCAGGGGCCAACAGCCTGCTGCTGTAAAGGTCATTAAAATATTCTTGACAGATCCCAGGAAGAGGGCCATTCCCCGCACTACAGAACAAGGCAAACCCTTCCATACTCCATACGAATGGGGTGAAATTCCTTCCTAACCCCAAACTTGGTGATGATCAGCCAGACACTAAGTGAAGGGGCAAGACCCTCTAACCAGCAGCCTCCAGGTTTAAGTCCTACCAGGGGTATTTGACACACCAGTCAAAACCCCCAGGCTACGTGGCAGCCAACATCTAGTCCCTACTAGGGAAGGCTTTTTAAACAAAAAAGAAAACCACAAAAAACCCCAAACCCCCCTGATACATATAGTAGCAAGAGTGGGGAAAATTCCCTCCTGAGCCCACAAGGCAATTAGCAAAGTTCAGACATGTAGGAAAGCCCATAGTAGAACATAGGAATAGCTACTCTTAGATCATCCCTATCCAATGCCTGTCTGACTACTTCTTGAGCACCTCCAATGATAGAGAGTCCACAACTTTACTAGGCAATCTATTGCACTGCCTCACTGCTCTAACATTGAAGAAGTTTTAGTTTTTCCTGATATCTACTTTAAACCTACTTTGCTGCAATTTCAAGCTGTTGGTCCATGTCCTATTCTCTGCTGCAAGGGAGAAAAGGTGTTTTGGCTCCTCTTTATGTCAGCCCTTCAGGTATTTCAAGATTGCTATCATGTCTCCTCCTAAGCACTTTTTCTACAAGCTGAACATACCTACTTTCTTCAGCCTCTCCCTCTATGACTTGCCTTCTAAGCCTTTTATCATTTTTGTTGCCCACTTCTGGACTGGCTCTAACTTCTCCACTTCCTTTTTAAAATTTGGAGCCCAAAACTACACACAGTACTCCAGATGAGGCATAACCAGTGACAAGCAGAGATGCACTGTCACCTCAACTTCTGTATCTTGCTTCTACAGATACATCCCAAAACTGCATTCACTTTTTGTGCAGCTGTATCACACTGCAGACTCATATTGAGTCTGTGATCGAGCAAGACTCACAGATTCTTTTTCTGTAGTGCTGCCATCCAGGCAGGTGTCACCCATTTCATTGGTGACATGTAGGGAGTGCACATGGGTGCACATGCACCCCCTGAGCTTGGCATTGCACCCCCTGCAAGAAGCGCTGCTGACGTTGCCAGCAGCGCCTGCGGGCAGTTGTCGCTCACCACCCACTCCCCCTTCACCACCAACACCACTTGCTGACACCACCACCACCACCTGCAGGCAGTCGCCATGCCACCCCAGCCTGTGGGGGCATGCAGCATTCATGACCCATTTTGGTTTTTTTATTTGTATTTGTGACTTCTTCCCAAGGTGTTGCACCTTGCATCGGTCAGTACTGAATTTCATCCTGTTAGCTCTAGTCCAACCTTCCAATCTGCCAAGATCCTTCTGAACTGTGTTCCCCCATGTTTGCAGTCCTTCTCAGTTTTGTGCCATCTGCAAACTTGCTCAAGAATCTTTCTATGCCAGCATCCAAATCATTAAGGCCCATGCTACACATTACAACTGGTTAATTGTTTAATAAATTTAGACCAGCCACATGTGAAAAGTAAGACCAGTCACACATGCAAAGTAATTGTCATATGCTTAACTGATTATTAATTGTACAATAGATTTAGATCAACCACACATGCAAAGTAATTATTACACAGTAAAATAATAAAAATAAAAATCCAGCTACAGAAAAGGCCACCTCCTATAACATTAGTTCGTGAAAATGTGTTTTTATCCAGCTTTAATCTGAACGTGTAGCAGGTCCCTAAGATACACATTGAACAACACTGGGCTCAGGACAAACCCTTGTGGGGTTCCATTCAAACCCTCCTGCCACTGTTATATGGATCCATGGATTTATAATTACCCTTCGCTTGTGGCTATTGTGCCAGATATCTATCCATCTTATAGTAGTTTTGTCTAGTCCACATTTCTCTGATTTTGAGATAGTTATGTGTCAGAAGCCTTGCTGAAGCCAGATATATTATTCCCACAGCCTTCCCTCCATCCAGTCAAGTAGTTACTTTGTCAAAGAAGGAGATCAAGTTTGTTTTACATGATTTATTCTTAGCCATGCTGGGTGCTTGTGATCAGCCTTTCCTCCTCCAAATAGTTAGTAAGGAAACTGAAAATATTTGGAAACAAAACAGCAAAAAATAAGGTTTTTTGGGGGGGTAACTTTTATTGGACCAACCGGCTTGAAAAGATGTTAGAAAGCCTTTTTGTGCCATTCTTCTGGCAGATATGAAGAAGGGCACTTTGTGCCCCAAAGCTTGTCTAAAATCTCTCCCAACTATACAGTTGGACCAATAAAAGACGCCACCAAAAAATAATCTTACATACAGTATTTTCTGCACCATTGCAGCTACAGTGCAACAACCTTCCAACCCTACTATGGAAAGATCAGATTTTTCTCCTGAAAACTGTGATTTAGCAGAGACAGAATTTGCTAGCAGAATATTATTGGAATGTAAAACTCCAGATAAGTGCTATCAAAGACTGAATTAAAATGAGTCAGCAGAGATAGATACAAACTGGAAACAACCCCCCCTCCCATGCGGTCTCCCTTTAGATATGGTAAAGATCAAGTTTGAACATCTCTCCTTTATTATTTTTAACTCATATTGAAAACCAAGGTATTCTGCAAAAATAGAGTCTAATAAAAACTCACCCAACAAAGTGTTTGCCCAGAGATGAAGCAATAATACCCTTATCTGCACTTTTTCACACATGCACTTCTCATTATAACAATC